ACACGTTGAACAAGCTCGTGCTTTTATCCACAAGCGACTTTGTTCTTATTTATTGGTTCGTAACAGTTAGGATAGTCCTATTTCAGGTTCTTGGATAGATTATATCGTATCCTAACACCTGTGTCATTAGCGAAAGGAAAAAAATGGACGCTACATGGACCACAGATTATCGTCTTTTTATTAAAGAATTAATCTAATGTGAGCAGTTGAGAATCAGTTGTTGGATAATTTTTGAGAAGTCCTGTAGATAGGCGAAAAAGTAAGAAAGTTTAAAGAATCGGATAACTGGCCATGCTGGCTATTCCACACATGTTATTTGCGTTTTTAGCGATGAGAATGTAGCCCTCCATACCCCAGTCCTCACCCCAACTGTTCTTCACGAGCCAGTAGGGCTGGCCATCCAAGATCCCATAGCCAATGGCCAGAACGGCATGATCCAGGTAGAGAGGGGAGCAATTCTTGATAGAGTAAACTCCATGACTGAAAGGGAGGCGGGTTCCTTTTAGCAATAATTCTGTCTGTCTCCCAAAGCAGAGAACAGGTTAAAGAAAGGGCCTTATTGGTTTCATACCCTGTTGGTTGTGTTTTTCCTGGTTTCGAGAGCGAATACGGATATAGAGTACTGTCGTGAACTTGCTTAGGTGGGAAATGCACTCGAATTTACGAAACATCTCTTCTCACTCAGAAATGGGCCCAAATACATTGAGCAGTTAGTTTTAGGTAAACTGACTGCACAGATGGAACATTAAAACCAATCTTATGTTGCTTAGGAAATAATTTATGTAGGAAGATCATTTTGTCAGACAGTTTTCCCAGGAATCGAAAAATATATCAGCATAATACTACTTCCCGGCCTTCACAAGCTCCACAAACGTATAGCCAATCGGGCCTGAATTTCGAGTAATTTGATAGGTTGAGCAAGATGTTAACAGTTGACTGCGTGCCTTTCTTACCTATAGAACATGAAACCCGGCATGTCGGCATTGATAGCAACTGAGATCGGTCCAACTGTGGCAACAGCCTCCATCAGGTCTGTTTCATTGCCTTCTTTTATTTTCTTGTAGCCCAGCATCATGGCAACTACATCTGACTTTCGATATTTACATTGGGAAGTCTAGGATCGGAAGAGTGGAGAGAAAGGGAGATAGGAAAAAATGTTATCATATGGAAGCCAATTATTTAGACGAATAACTCTCTAATAACTCTATAGCACAGCATGTTCAAAAATAAACATGTTTTAGTCCGCTGATGTGTTCTAATTTCAGAACGTAAATAGGCGGTTCTACGTCTGTTTTCAAAAGAGTATCAACAGTATATGCAAAGGGTAATGTGATGACTGGTAACCAACAGTAGGCAAGTTTAACAATCAAAGACGTGGGCAATGATTTCAACTCGTAGCTGCGTAGCCCTATCTAGTATTGTTTAAATGAGCACATTTCGAAATAAGTCATGCTCCTCGTGTATGGATGTAATCAGGAGACAGTGTTATTAAATAGCCCGAATAAACAAAGGAGCTTCAAGTTTGCAAAAGTCAGAATTCCGGGATAAGAATCATAAAGCATGTTTTGCTCACCGGAATGAATTTGCTGGTTCGCTGACGTTTCAGAAAACGGGACCGGCTGTCCTTTTTCACAGCGTAAACTGAATTTGTCGATCAGCAATTTAAAGTTGTGGCTGTACTTGTTGGCCATGGGCTAATCGATTTTTCTCCGTTTGCTGCTTGGCCCTCCGTGTAGATTTCGGCACACCTTGACGGCAGTTAGTGTTGTGTTTCGTCCCCAAGGTAGAGGATGCTGGTGATTCTGCCCCTCTTCTGGTGGTTTCGTCACAAGCCGTCTTTGTTTGCAAATCCTGAGTTCGGTTTGACCTTCTTCTGTCCTGTAGCAACGATGGAGACTGCAGTTACGTAGGAGAAACAGGGCGCAAATTGCAGACCCACCTAAACGAACACAAAGCAGCGGCCCGGAGACTAGACCCAAACTCGCAGCTCGCAACACATATCTGGGAGACTGGCCACAACTTCGATATTCAAGGAGCGACCATCCTAGGCCGAGGCACCTCAAAAGCGGAAAGACTGACGCTTGAGGCATGGTACTCAGGCGCCAACTCTGTCAACAGGCATCTGAACCTTCCCGCGGCCTACCAAGTCCTACGCCATTACGTAAGTAAAGGACAGGACAAGGTCAAACCGAACTCATGATTTGCAAACAAAGGCGGCCCTTTGACGAGACAGCCGGAAGACGGAGCGGAATAACCAGCATCCTATACCGTGGAGATGAAATACAATACTAACTGCCGTCAAGCTGTGCCAATATCCACACGAAGGGCCAAGCAGCGAACGGAGAATAGTCGATCAGCTCATGGCCAACACGTACAGCCACAACTTTAAATTTCTGATCGACAAAGTCAGTTTACGCTGTGAAAAAGCACAGCCGGTCCAGTTTTCCGAAACGTCAGCGAACCAACAAACTCACTCCGGTGAGTAAAAAATGATTTATAAAGGAGTTTCAATTAGTAAGTAGTTAGCTTCTTCTATTAAAATAGAAGTTTTCCTTTGGAATTTAAAAGATGAAAACGTTGGCTCAGTTTCAGAAGACTGTCGCTTTGGGTAAATATGTCACCCACTTCACAGTTATGCTTGATAATAAATTTACGCAAACGGGATCCGATATTCGAGACGCCCCGTGAATTAAAGCTTTTCTGATAATCGTTATGTTGTTCTACATAACCTTCCTCCTTTTCATTTACTTTTCAGTGTGAATTCGTAAGATAAGGACGAAGAAATTTCCGTGGCAGAATTGTTAATGGTATATGGCCAGAACGGGATGGACGTTTTGAGAAAGGAAAGCTGACTATCGTTTATTTTTTGTTTTCTGGAAGCCTCCGGGATATTTTTCTGAAGTTTTATTCGTTGAGACCTTAATATGTCGTTTTTGTTTGATTGGTCGTGGAGGGAACTGTTGGGAATGCTCCCATTCCCATTTTGAAGCAACCTCACAGAAAAGCATGTAGATGTGACTTCCACGCTGACGCTGACTTCCACGCTTGGACATTTTTCATTCCGGATAAGGAGGCTCGGGAAGTCCGCGGAAAATAGATTACAAAAGCGTTTAAACGAACACTTGCATGAATCTGAACTGAGAAAGTGGCTTCGAAAGAATCCATGCAGTTCTTTCAAAAACCGAATTAAAAATGACCGCATTCCCTTCAGAAAGACTATAAGGAATGTACGCCTGGTCAGTTGCCTTGCCAAATTTTTCTGAATTTTTCGAAATTAGAGTGGCAGCGATATACTTTGAAACTGAATGTTCAAATGAAGAACCAATTTGCCCTTACCATGGCCTTGTAGGGATAAGCGGCTTCAGATTCACTGCCGTATTGGATGAGGTGTTCAAAAGCTTGCGTCATCAAACCGCCACCACACCCTTCGTTACCTTCCGGCCAACTGCAGTCAACCAACTGTTGTTCCGATAAACTCGTCAGCTCGTGTCTTTGCAGCTTCAGTTGGCCTTCAATGGCTCCAGTTGTAGAAAAAGCCCAGCACGATCCACATGCTCCCTAAATGATTAGTAAGAACAAATACTGACTTCAGAATAGTACACGTTACATAGTATTCCACAGCAAGGGCTCTAGATACCCTTGACAGCTTACAGATTAAAAAAATGCTATCCCCTTTTGCTGATGATTTCAAAGAGATGTTCAACCTTGGAGTATACATTGTCCGTCTTTGAATTCCCACGTCTACCTTAGACTAGTTTGATGGCGTATCGAGTATGTACATAACTAGTCATGAAAAACACAGTTGGTGGTAGCGAACAAATAAATACATCCCCTTTGCCTCCTAAAAAACATCAATGACTTCATCGAATGCACAAGTGGCACAGGTTTTCATTTCAGTTGTCCAACAATGAGTTCAAGATTTGACAATATATTTTGTTAAGTTTTTTATAACTCGGCCCCCGTCTTATCGAAAGGCATATTTTTTTTTTTCAGGAAGGGAGAAAACTAGACTTTAACTGAAAATTGGAGCGGTAAGCTAGAGCTAGTTTCCCATAGATGCAGAAAATTTGCGAAAGCAGCGCTTAACTATGCCCTGGGTACGTGGATATGGGGGAGATATGACTCAATTGTGTCTAGCTCCTAGTAAGAATATGGCCACACCAGTAAAAAATAAGTTTATTTAAGGCAAATAATGTATTTTAGACGGTAAATTTAATCTACTATGACATCATGGAATTTGACAACTATATTCTCATTTTTGAATCTACATTTTCAGACGAGCCTTCGGGGAGTATCACACTTCCTTAAGCCTGTAGCGCTCCTTCACATGCATACACTAAGCATTTGCTTTCGGTATCATCCGTTTATTCGCCTCAATATTCCGAATCGCCAAACCGTCAGTTAAGTCGGAAAGTTTGTTCCTGTCGCTTAAGCATACCACTGGAGAGCCCATTATAGGGTAACTTTAATTTGAAGTCATGCACTACTGCGATAACTATACGCATTCTACTATGTAGGTTTCAGTAAATCGTTGTATTTGCATCAGTGTTGGTCAACATGAAAAGTTTACTGCATAAATGTAGTTAATGTGTTGTTTGTTGTCGTCTGCAAATAATTTTGCAACTTAACCGCTTTGCATGCTTACCCGTACCATTTAAATTGAATTTTAAGGGTTTCTCTCATTATTATTTGTCAAAAGAAACCTTGAAATACCTGGTCCTTCACTGGTGTTACTGCACCCATGTTGCGCCAGTCAACCTGGTCTGGTAGATCTTTCAGCTGGGCGGTGCTTAGATGGGACTGTGATACACCGGCTGGCAGACGTGAGTGTAGTTTGCTCAGGTACAGAGCAGAAAACTCTTGTGGTGTAAGGTCGGCGAATTGGTTAGGTGACATAGTATACGTCTCTAGATCTTGGTGAAATCGGTAATTATGCTCCTCGATTAATCGTATATTGGCCGTAAATATGCTTTTGCGCAGAATTTCCTCGTAACTGTCCTTGTACGTCTTACCGAGCCCAGTCTTCCATGTGTACCATTGATGCAGCGCCTGGAAGTCGTGAAACATGCCGTCTACTGCTCCGTCAGACAGATAGAGTAGGATTACAAACAGTAAGGCGTACATTTTTTCTCGTTGCAGGTAACAGAAAGGTACCATTTTTCATCTCTTTTATACGCATACAGTCAACAAAAATGACCCTACAACCTGTGTGTCCTGATGGGTTTTCGGTGAACACCTCATGGTCCAAGTGAGCTACCAGAATGTTTCCGTTGGCATCAAAGGGGTAATTGCTAAGTTCATTTATACAACCTTAATGACCCTAGATTGATCGACTGACAAGGATATGCATGTAAAATTTATGTAGTCCTCGTCAGGTCAAACAAAGACTAGTAGATATGTTTGATCAGGTGAGTCGGATCGGCTTCAACCAGAAAAATTAAGGTCAGCATTTTGTTTCACCACAAACAGCAGTGTTCACAGTAACTCCTTTGTATTTTCATTTGGAACGGTGCTTGATGCTGGAGAGGAGTAAGCGCAGTCTCGCGAGGGAAATGGTATAAAGTCCTGTCATAAAAGAAGCGACTCGCTTTAACCAGATTCCTTAAAGCAACGTTTAGGAAAAATTGTGCCTGGCCGCACATATATGAACTTCAGTAAGGGAGTGTTTGTCTTGAGGGTAAGGAGGACTTATAAAGCTTTTTGGTTTCTATCGCCAACCGCAAACTTGCGTCATGAAAAGGCGCGTAGGAGCAACTGTCCTATCTAGCACCCATTCATATTTTACTGTTTCCTTCCTCCTCAGCGGTACTGATAGAAGAAGTTTAAAAGATTAAAAAATAGCAAGGGCTCAAACTTCCTGTTGCCATCATTTTTTTACAGGTGTAGTCATTTCTGGAGATACTTTCCGCATAAGTGCATGAAAGTAACTGCAAAACCGCAATCACTTTCGAGTGTTCGTTGTTCGTCTCTGGAGAGGGCGGAATTTGAATACCTTCAGCTCACTTTTAACTGCAACACGTCCATCCTCTTCTATTCGAATAATGACGACAGACAGGCAAATGTCCACCTGAATGAGTTTTACATTTATCATTGTACTGGTTTTCGTCACGTACTGAGGCGTATCATCTAGCAGCAGTTAGGACAACTACTTTGTTTAGGACGATGTAGCCCGAAATTCGAGGAGCTCAGTAATCCTCGGAGTGGTGTGAAAGCAAGATCCTCAAGCCAACCCTCTAGTGTTTTTGTCGCCTGTGTCAAATTTACCGGCGATGGGTGTAAGACAAATACTGCATTTTCCATGCTGACAGCGTTAATCTGTTGTGCGATCTAGATCGGTAAGCCTGCGGGAAGACGGCGTAAGTGCTTGTGAGCTACCTCATAGAGGTTTACCAAAAATACTTTACCAAAAGGACAATCACCTCGGTTGCTACACCTATAAGCGTTATAATAATCCTAAAAAACGCCTAAAAGAGCGCTGGCCAACCATCAATATCAAGGCCAAAGTAGAATATTTATGGCAAGAAATTTATGCTGTGTGTCTAGCCGCACTAAAACGGGTAATGCAATGTGAGTCGTTGAAACAATCCGAAATTGCTAATGCTGAGCTATTTAAACAATAACTAATCCAGTTGAGTGGAGCACTGAACTCAAAAAAATCAGAATTTGCGGAAAGGCATGAAAAGGTGATTTTGTTGCATGAAAATGCTAGGGCCCTCTTTGCACATCTGGTACGATAATCCCAAGCACAAAATCCCTGAATGACGCCTAGGCAACCATTAATAACTGCGTCAAAACAGAATACTCATTGAAGCTAATTTATGCAAAGTATCTGATAGAACTAAAGAGAATGGTAAATGATGAGATGCTAAACCTACCTGAAACGTTTACTACTAAGTGATATTAATAACAATCAATCAGTTTGATTTCAGCACTGAACACAAAAGGCCAGAATATGATGGAAGAAAGAAGAAAGTGATCTTGCAACATGACACTGACAGGCCCAATATTACAAAACGAGCAAAGGAACGTTTAGGAGCACTCTGCTGGGAAGTGTATGTATGTATTTTTGACCATCGGCTTCGATGATATCAACCAAGTGCACCAACAGGTTGGTACA